GTGGGAGCGTTTTACCAGTGACCCAGGGCTGCGGCGGAAGGAGGGTGCAGGTGGGGGGTGGAGGAGAGAGCTCAGGGCTGGGGCAGCAGGAGATGTGTGCGGGGGGCATGGTGGGGGGAATGAGGGAGCCCAGAGCTCGGGTGGCAGGGGGTGTGGGTGGGAGGGGAAAGCCCAGGGCTGGGGCAGCAGGGGGTGCGGCGAGGAGCCCAGGGCTTGGACGGGGGCAGCCACATTTTTTTTTGCTTGGGGCGGCAAAAAACCTAGAGCCGGCCCTGTGCCTCAGTGATTGTATGAAGCTACAAAGACTACCTCAACATTGTTCAAGAGAAGAAAGTGTAATTACAACCCAGCAAAGCCACAATAAAATTATACAATGGCATAGGACAATGTAAATTACAAGCAGAATAGCAAGGAAAAGTATACTGTCCAAAATTTCAGATAGTTCAAAATCACAGAAGCCACTGCTTTCAGCTAAAACAAGTTAATGCATAACCACAGTGACATTAAACCTGAGACATACAATTCGTACAAAAGACACACAAGCAAACCAAAAAAACATAATCAGAGCAGACAACATCTTGTGGCCTCCCTGCAGTGAAGCTGTTAAAACGTTACCAAAATGTATTCAAAGGAATGAGATGTCTTCCAGGCACATTACACCTGGAAATAGATAAAATGATTGAGCCAATACAGCATCTGCCTTGCAGAGGAACCATTGCATTAAAAGGGAAAAAAATAACGGGAGCAATAAAACATATGGAAAAAGAAGGCATCGTTGCTAAAGTCACAGAGCCATAAGTTGGATAAGCAGCACATTAGCTTTTGAGAAGCCAGGCAAACTCTGCATTTACATAGAACCAAGCAGTTTAAACAAAGCACTAAAAAGAGTTCACTACCAAATACCTACTTTTGAAGAAACATTTCCTTACTTGGCAAAAGCAAAAATATTCTTAGTACTTGATGCCAAAGATGGCTATTGGCAAGTGCTACTGTACATAAGGAAAGCGGCTACCTCACTACATTTTGGATACCACCAGATAGATACAGCTGGCTGAGAATGCCATGTGGGATCAGACTGCAGAGCGTAAGGATCCATGGGAGCAGAACCCCGGTCACAGGAGCCCGGGACACCTGATGATCCCACACTGCCCACAAGAGGCCACATAGAGCACTGTGGAGAATAGGTACTGCAGGAAGTACTGCCCAGACGTAGGGTTGCCTGGTGTCCAGTTTTCGACCGGAATGCCTGGTCAAAAAGGGACCCTGGCAGCTCCGGTCAGCACCGCGAACTGGGCTGTTAAAAGTCCAGTCGGCGGCGCTGCGGATCTAAGTCAGGCTAGTTCCTACCTTTCCTGACACTGGGCTGTGCCCTAGAAGTGGCCAGCAAGTCTGGCTCCTAGGAGGTGGGGCCCACAGGGCTCCCACGTACTGCCCCTACCCCGAACACCGGCTCTGCACTCCCATTGGCTAGGAACTGTGACCAATAGGATCTGGGGGGCGGTGACTGCTGCGCACAGAGCAGCGCACAGAGCCTCCCGGCCCCCCGCCTAGGAGCTGGACCTGCTGGCTGCTTCCGAGGCACAGTGAGATGCCAGGACAGACAGGGAGCCAGCCTTAGCCCCACTGCATCGCTGCCTGGGAGCTGCCTGAGGTAAGCCTGTGCCCAAACCCTGAACCTCAACTCCCTGCCTCAGCCCTGAGCGCCCCCAAACCCAGAACACCCTCCTGCAGCCCAAACACCTCAACCCCAGCCCCACCCCAGAGCCCGCACCCCCAGCCTAGAGCTCATACCCCCACCTGCACCCTAACCCCCTTCCCCAGCCCAGTGAAAGTGAGTGAGGGTCGGGGAGAGCAAACCAGCAAGGGAGGGGGAATGTAGTGAGCAGGGGCAGGCCCTCAGGGAAGGGACAGGGCCTCTGGGAAGAGGTAGGGCCTCAGTGTTCAGTTTTGTGTGATTAGAAATTGGCAGCCCTACCCAGAGAGCCCAGAGCAACAGCAAACTGCAGCCTACTGATTGGTCCATGCTCACTATTTAACCCTGGAGGGAGCTCCAGGATATTGTCTGGGCAACCACACAGAATTCTGGCTTGCTTCGACTCCAGCTGTCACCTCGCTTACTGATCTCTGGTTTCTGACCCCACCCTGACTGACCCTGACTCTGGCCTCCTGATTCCAGCCTGGTGCTATGTCTCATCTCCGGTCTCCAACCCCAGTCTGACTCTAACTCTGACTCTTGCTTATCTATCCTGGCTCTAGCAATTACTCTGTCGCTGCTCATTGACTCCTGCCTCTTGGCCATCCTTGACTTGACACCAGTCCAGCCGTGACTGCTAGGTGAGACGTCCTACACCCCAGTCCCCTGCCCAGACCACCTTTCAACCCCCTCCATGGAAGCACCTTAGCAGGATTTGGAAGGAGTGGGTCTACCACAACCCACTGGACCCCCTGGGGGACAAGAGCTGCAGGAGAGGATCACTCAGCTCCAATCCAAGAACCATAGGCTGCGGTCCCAAGTGGCATAGCTCCTAGCAAAAAATCAGACACTCCATGAGCAGCTAGCGTGCTTCCAGGAAGAGAAGCCCGTGTTCTTTGCTCAGGTTGGGCAACTGCCCTCTGAATAGGGTTCCTCTAGTACAGCTACCCAAACGTTTTGATGGGAACCGCAGGATGTTTAGGGGGTTCGTGAAGCAATCCCGTCTCATTTTCCTGCTCCGCCCTCGAATGTATCCCACTGATCAGGCCAGGGTGGGAATACTGATCAGTTTGCTAGCTGGAGAAGCACTGGTTTGGGCCTCCCCCCTAAAACAGCAGGACATCCCAGTGTTAACTGACGAATTCTTTCCTGTGAGCATTTTCTGCAATTTTTGACAACCCTCATTGTACTCACTCAGCAGAAGCCATACTATGAAGGCTCTAGCAAGGGCAAGAGCCAGCTACCTCGTACGCTCCCCAGTTCTAGAGACTCACAGCCAATGCTGAATGGAACGAGGCAGCCCAACTGCCCCGGCCAGCTTAGATGCTTTTGTTGACCTCTTTATCTATATCAACAATTGGCTGCATGAGCAAAATGAGGAGAGGAGGGGAACTGTGCCACCACCTCACCCATACCCCAGGCTGAAAACCCCAGGCCCAACCACCAACCAATTCAGGGTGATCTGGTCTGCCAACGATTGACCCTGGAAGAAAAGGAATGGTACCAGCACAATAACTTTATTGTGTAGCACCAGGACATGCCCTTGCCTCTTGTCCATTGCAGATTTTGATTAGGAAGGAATCAGGAAACAAACCCAGGCTGTACTGGGGAGAGCTAGCCAGGGCACAACCAGGGTACTATGCTGTGAAACTACCCCCCTACCCCAAACCTCAAGGAAATCCTGATTCAAGACATGTGTGTCCATCCCACACTTCCAAGTACAAATACAGTTATGTTCCATGGGCCAAGCTGATTCTCTGTCAGTGGGCCCTGATCAATTCATGGGCTGCTGATAATTTCATAGATGCTGAAGCCACTCAAGCCTTACAGATCCCCCTCTGTTTAAAGCCTACATCAGTTCTCACAGAGATGATAGATGGGTGACTCCTGTCCCTGGGACTAGTGATGCAGGAAACAGTACCCCTAGCGGCTATACCTAAGGGACATCAGGAGGTGCTACAATTCAATGTGATTCATTCAGCACACTTTCCCCTGATTCTTGGCATGCCTGGCTAGAGCAGCACATTCCTTGTATCTCCTGGTGAGAAGAGGATCAGTTTCCCCTGTGACTATTGCGAAAAGATCTGCCTGCCACATGAAGGCAACCCCAATCCTCCAGTCCTGGGCTTCTGTGGCCGATCAGAAGTGACAGCACTCGCAGGGGAACCCCAGATGGCAGCGGCCAGCCAGAAGGAACCACTCTCAAACCTGAGTCCCCATCTCCTTCATAAGTATAAGGATTATACAGATGTTTTTGAAAAGAAAAATGCAGATATACAACCTCCGCTCGGGGACTATGACTGCCCCATAGACCTGCAACCTAAGGCAAAGGACCCTTATGGATGGATCTATGCATTGTCTGAGCCGGAACTGACAGCCCTTCCTGTGTACATTCATGAAAACCTGGCCAAGGGCTTCATCTGGCACTTCACCTCCCCACCAGGGACTCTTGTCCTTTTCAATTAAGAAAAAAGATGGAATGCTACACCTCTGCATAGACTATCAGTCCCTAAACCAGGTGATAGTCTAAAACCAGCATCCTCTGCCCCTAATCTCAGAGTGGCTAGACCATGTGCAGTTTGCCAGAATTTTTACCGAACTGGACCTCCAAGGTGCTTACAACCTAGTACTCTTTATGGCAGGAAAAGAACGGAAGACTGCATTTCGAACCTGCTGTGGGCACTTCAGATATTTAGTAATGCCATGTGGTCTGACTAATACTCCCACGATGTTTCAACACTTCATGAATGATGTATTTAAAGACATCCTGGACGAGTATGTAGTTATCTATCTCAGGGACATACTTATGTTTTCAGACAACCCTGAACAACATTGTTACCACATTCGTTCCATCCTGTTAAGAGTACAGAAGCGCGGCCGGTACGTGAAACTGGAAAAACGTACCTTTGACCAATCCTCCCAGGAATTTTGGGTTATATTCTTACCCCAGCGGGCCTTAAGATGAACTCCCCAGAAAGTAAATGCCATCCACAGCTGGGTAGTGCCCAGGCCCCCCTGGGAGTTACAGCACTTCCTGTGCTTTATGAATTTTTACTGACAATTCATTCCGGGCTTTGCAGGGCAAATAGCGCCCATGACTAACCTTCTCTGCAAGGCTATCAAATACGTTTGGATGCCTGAAGCTCACCATGTCTTCAAACAGCTCAAGGATGCTTTCACCTCCACTCCTGTTCTAGCATATCCAGACCCTGCCCAAGCAGTCATAGTGGAAGACAATGTAGCCAATGTAACCATTGGAGCCATACTCTCCCAGAGGCATGGGCCACAGCAATTGCTGCACCCCTGCACATACTCCAGAAAACTCACCCCTGCCAAATGGAATTATGAAATATTATATAAAGAATTACCCACCATTAAATCCACCTTTGATGACTGGCATCATCATAGAATCATAGACTATCAGGGCTGGAAGGGACCTCAGAAGGTCATCAAGTCCAATCCCCTGCTCAAAGCAGGACCAATCCCCAGACAGATTTTTACCTCAGATCCCTAAATGGCCCCCTCAAGGATTGGGCTCACAACCCTGAGTTTAGCAAGCCAATGCTCAAACCACTGAGCTATCCCTCCCCCCAATACCCAGGATCACATACGTTGATGGGCAGATATACATTCCACTGGGCAGTCCCTGCTAGAACTGCTTCATCTCTCCCACAACATCTTCGTGGGCCACCTTAAGTCTTTCTGCACTACTTTCTGATTCTTCTGGTGGCCTCATATGTGAACCAAAGCCCAGAGCTTCATTGACTCTGTGACCTGTGTGTGTGTGCACCAAAACGCTTCGTGCTAAGACCCTTGGCACCCTGGTGCCCTGGGTATCCCATGTAGACCCTGGGAATCTGTCACACTGGATTTCACAGTGGAACTCCCCATCTCTGACAGCCACACAGTGGTCTTGACCATTGTAGACCAAATGACCAAAATGGTGCATTTCATCCCCTGTCACTGCCTACCATCTGCTGAAACAATGGCTCATTTCCGGATGGTGCACGTTATCCATTTTCATGGACTTCTGACCATATCACTTTGGACCAAAGCCTGCAGTTTGTCTCATACTTTTGGAATGATATTCTCCAGTTACTGAACATTTGCAATTTTCCCTTCTCTGGTACCACAGCCAGCCAGTTGGGAAGACAGAGAGGATAAATCAGTACTAGAGCAATAAGCCACTAGCGAACACTTTTTTTTAATATCTACGGCTAGCAGACCCAAAACACTATCAGCTACTGAAGCTGCAATGCTCTAATTTAGATGTATGCTACAAGAAAGGGACTGAGATGTACATATCTGACTTCTTATCCAAAGCGACCTTGCAGCATGAAAATATGGCAACTGAAGAAGAATTTGAAATCCTCAGAAGACACAGAAAGACCTAGAAAGCATCAACTAAATTAGTTATATATCAGTTTCATGGCAGGAGCTAGAAAGAATCCAAGAACAAACTATATATGATACAGATATACAAGTGCTCATGTCCAACATTGTATCAGGATGGCCAGACAAAAGGGATGAATCCCCGACGGCCTACCAGGAACACAGGAACTACCAAGATGAGATGAGCTTACAAGATAATGTTGTATATAAAGCAGCCAAATCAGAATACTCAGGTGATTGAGAACAGAAACTCTATGTTGTGTGGTTTGCAGAATGGCTCCAAACGACCTCATTACTGCAGACTACTATTCAAACTTCTAGGAACTAGACAACCTGTCAGAAACTACCGCAGTGACTATCATAGACCAACCAATAAAGTATTTCAACAGCCACTGTATCACAAACTGTTTAACTTCAGAAAACAGACCCCAGATGACCTGCGGTGAGTTTGTGCAATTTAGATGGCAATGGAAATTCAGTCATAGCCCGTCATCACCATATAACAGTGAGTAAGGGTATCTAGCCTATAAGATATCATTCATTTTATATATATATATATATATATAGTTGAATATTTGGTGGATACAGTTCTTGTGAATACTGGATATATCAACAGAAATCAGAATCTGTTACCAAATGATCTCCAAACAGAAAAAAAGGCTACATTTGTTGGATAATTTCTTTACAATGAATAATGTTATCAGCTCTACTATCATGCATTACCAGTAAATGTGTCAGTATTATGTATGAATGTTTCATTATGGTTTATGTCAATAGTTTTACTTTACATAAGGGTGTATATTTGTTTGTGATTTACGGTTTTAATCACCATGAGAAAGTATTCAAGGGTGGACCATGAATTGCTCATCTCTGTATGCTTGGGACACTTTATTCAGTGCAAACAAAGTTGGAGAGTCCAGGCAATTCTTGGGCTAATCATAGTTAACTTCCCTAATGAAAAACCTCAGAAGAGACCTTTTGACTTCTTTGTGTGGATTTGCCGACCATAACACGACAATTTCTAATTTTCTCTGTACAAAAGGATTGCATGTTTTTCAAAAAGCAATGTAAGAAGCAGCAGCTGGTTTGTGGCTGTCAGTAAGACTGGGGAGCCAATAATTTTCACAGCATTTGGGCAGCAACTCCCCTCTTCTCCCTCCAAGATCAAATACACTGGAAAGTTCACTAAGAACCGACCATACACTGAGGATAAGAAAAAATCATAACTTTGGTGTGGTTTGATTTTGCAAAAATTAAATGACTGGTTTGGGTGTTGCTAATTCAACTGGATTGAACTCAGGTACCATTTGAAATCAATTCCCTTAAGCATCTGCAAGTTCAGAAAAATAAAAGATGGTCACAACTGGAGTTGGTTTTGATTTTCTTAAACCTAAACTAAGGATTGGTTTGAATCCAAGACTCATTTATTCAAATTTTCACATTTGAGAGGGCTTGATATTAATGGGTCCTTATCCATTATATTTACATATGATGGTATGAGTGAAGTCTTGACCATTGTAGACCAACTGACTAAAATAGTGCATTTCATCCTCTGTGACTGCCTACCTTCTGCTGAAACAATGGCTCACTTCCTGATGGTGCACGTTATCCATTTTCATGGGCTTCTGAACCATATCACTTTGGACCAAAGCCTGCAGGTTGTCTCATACTTTTGGCATGATATTCTCCAGTTATTGGACATCCGCACTTTTCCCTTCTCTGCGTATCACAGCCAGCCAGATGGGTAGACAGAGAGCGTAAATCAGTACTAGAGCAATATCTAAGGTGTTTTGTCAGCTACCATCAAGATATATGGTTCTCCCTCCTGCTTTATGCCGAGTTCTCATACAACTACACTGACCATGTCTCCACGTGGAAGAGGTCCTTTTTTGCAAATTACAAGTTCCACCCTCACTTCCACCTAGCCTTGCCAGCAGCTTCCCCTAACCTAGTGACCGTCAACTGGATCCAACGAATTCCTCATCTCCAGGAGGACCTTAAGAGCCACTTTGAAGACACAAAAACGGACTACAAGCAGTATTCAGACTGTCAATGCCAAGAAAGCCCATCTCTGATAGTGGGCCAAAAGGTTTAGTTTGCAGCAAAATGCCTCCATACAAACAGGTCATCCCACAAGCTAGGGCACCAGTTCCTCAGACCATTCCAGATTTGTCAGCAAATCAACCCTGTCACCTTCAAATTGCAGCTCCCGCCATCCCTTAAGATACATCCTGTTTTCCATGCATCTCTCTTGAAACCTTATATGGAGAACCCCTTTCCCAACAGCTACCCCCGCCATCCAGGCCCAAGTGCATGAGAAATATATAGTCTGTGCTATCCTCAATCCTAAACTGCAGAGGGGGAAGACAGTACTAACTCTTTGATTTTCAGGGCTGTGGGCCTAAAGCACACTCCTGGGAACCAGCTGCCCACATCCATGCCCCTGACCTGGTAAAAAGAGTTCCATCAAGACACACCAGGTCTGGCAGCAACTCAGAGGAAGGGCAATAACAAAAAGATCCTTGGGAAGGGAACCCAAGTGTGTGGAGCCCAGGAGAGCTGACATTCCCATATTGCCACCAGGAGGCTATGCAGAGCCACATCCAAGGAACACTGTAGCGATTAGGTGCTGCAGGAAGTACTGCCCAAAGGGCCCAGAATGACAGCACCCTGTGGCCTTCTGATTGGCCCATGTTCACTATTTAACACTGGAGGGTACTCCAGGAAGTAGTCTGGGCAACCACACACACTTCTGGCCTGATGTGACTCCAGACCTCACCTTACTTTCTGATCTCCAGTCTCATATCAATGCAACCAGGAAGATGTACTAACAGGACTTTCAGGGGTTAGCATCATAGCTGAGACTATTCTAGTGTATGAATGCAGAGAGAGCAAGGTGAAAGCTGTGGCAGATCACAACCACAACCTCATCTGTGTGCTAAAAAGAGCCATGGAAATAAATCTAAAACTGAATAAAAACAAAACAAAATGAAATTACAATTGACTGCAATCTCCTACATGAGACACTCGCTGAGCTCCCAAGGGCTACAGCCTGACCACCAAAAGATAAAAGCAATACTGCAGTTGTGCACACCTGAAGATATTAAATCAGTTCAGAAACTAGATTTGTAAACTATCTGACAAAAATTCTTCCAAGCATCTTTCTACTGACCCCTGAGGTGACTAAAGGACAGAGGTGCAGTATGTACATGGCTTCCTCAACATGATGTAGCTATCATACATATCAAAGATCTGTGATTAATTATTTCATCATAAAATACTGCAATGCCAATGAAGAGGCAACTATGTAGTGGGAAGCCAGTGAGATGGGACCTGGGGCATCACTCGAACAAAAGGGACAGCAGGTAGCTTTCACATCAAGGCCATTATCACTAACAGAATAAAGATATGTTCAAATTGAAATTGAATTTCTTGTAATTGTGCTCACTTGTGAAAAATTCAACCAGTATGCAGAAGCACTGGAAAACTTTTGAGTATAATGTAGCCATAAGCCACTAGCGAACACTTTTTTTTAAAATCCACGGCTAGCAGACCCAAAACACTATCAAGCTACTGAAGCTGCAATGCTCTAATTTAGATGTATGCTACAAAAAAGGGACTGAGATGTACATATCTGACTTCTTATCCAAAGCGACCTTGCAGCATGAAAATATGGCAACTGAAGAAGAATTTGAAATCCTCAGAAGACACAGAAAGACCTAGAAAGCATCAACTAAGTTAGTTATATACCAGTTTCATGGCCTGAGCTAGTAAGAATCCAAGAACAAACTATATATGACACAGATGTACAAGTGCTCATGTCCAGCATTGTATCAGGATGGCCAGACACAAGGGATGAATCCCCACTGGCCTCCCAGGAACACAGGAACTATCAAGATGAGATGAGTTTACAAGATAATGTCATATATAAAGCAGTCAAATCATAATACTCAGGTGATTGAGAACAGAAACTCTCTATGTTGTGTGGTTTGCAGAATGGCTCCAAACCTACCTGTCAGAAACTACCGCAGTGACTATCATAGACAAACAATTAGTATTTGGTGGATACAGTTCTTGTGAATACTGGATATAGCAACAAACATCAGAATCTGTTATCAAATGATCTCCAAACAAAAAAAAGGGCTACATTTGTTGGATAATTTCTTACAATGAATAATTGTATCAGCTTTACTGTCATATATTAGCAGTGAATGTATCATTGTCAAGTATAAATGTTTCATTATGCTTTATGTCAATAGTTTTATTTTAAATAAGGGTGTATATTTGTTTGTGATTTATAGTTTTAATCACCATGAGGAAGTATTCAACGGTGGATCATGACTTGCTCATCTCTGTTTACTTGGGACACCTTATTCAGTGCAAACAAAGTTGGAGAGTCCAGGCAATTCTTAGGCTAATAGTAGTTAACTTTCCTAATGAAAAACCTAAGAAAAGACCTTTTGACTTCTTTGTGTGGATTTGCCAGCCATAGCACGACAATTTCTAATTTTCTCTTTTCAAAAGGATTGCATGTTTTTCAAAAAGCAATGTAAGAAGCAGCAGCTGGTTTGTGGCTGGCAGTAAGACCTGGGAGCCAAATGATTGTCACAGTATTTGGGCAGCAACTCCCCTCTTCTCCCTCCAAGATCAAATACACTGCAAAATTTACTACAACCCACCACACACTGAGGATAAGAAAGAATCATAACTTTGGTGTGGTTTGATTTTGCAAAACTTAAATGACTCATTTGGGTGTTGCTAATTCAACTTAATTGAACACAGGTACCATTTGAAATCAATTCCCGTAATCATCTGCAAGTTCGGAAAAATAAAAGATGGTCACAACTGGAGCTGGTTTTGATTTTGTGAAACCTAAACTAAGACTAAGGATTGGTTTGAATCCAAGCCCCATTTATTCTAATTTTTACATTTGAGAGGGCTTACATTAATGGGTCTTTATCCATTATATTTAGATATGATTGTCTGAGTGAAGTAGTTATGATATACATGGTTTTAAAGGTGATATAAACACCTTAGGTGACTTTTGTATTAAGTTAGTATAATCGATGTCTTTTATCTTGTACGTTTTCAACATAAAGAGAAAAAAATACAGTTGAATCAAGTAGGAGAGAGTATGCCAGGCACTGGAACTACTGATCAGATAACAACAGATGATGTTATATTTACTGTTATACAAGCCAATGTTAATGACCAATATCTACTATTGTAGGTTTTAGAGGTTAAGTTTAGATTTAAAGAGTCAAAAAAATCTGGACTCAGTTCCATTGCCTTCAACGGACCCAGGCTAATTTACACCTACCAGTGACCTGGTCCAAACTAATTGTACGTTATTTTGACAATGAGAGCCTCACTCTTAAGGCTTTAGGTTTCTTGAAATATTAAAATGAGAAAAATGGAAAGTACAAGAAAGAAAAAGGAAAA